TTGATATTGACCCTAAGGAATTGATATAAATTGAAAGCAGTCTATTATCCATGTTTCATGTTGTAGCTCCGTTTCTATAAAAATTTTAATGATGATTAGGATACAATACATGTTTTTATCTGCTTTATCAAGTAGGTTCTGACATCAATCCAGGTAGATCAATTAAATCTACATACTGAAGAAAAATGATCGTCTCATATTTTCTAATAGATGGATGATGGCAGAACAAATTCAGATGAATTATCAGATATCATCAGCAGGTGGAATAGATAGTTGCCATACTAGAGGTTTATTGTCACTAGAAAGCATCATATTTCTGACCTGATAAACATGACAAAACTTGAAAAATTATTCATAATTTCAACTTTTCAATTTAATTCATATAAAACGAACACATGAGATAATAATTTACCTTTAGTGCAAGTTTCTTGAGCTTATTCATTGCTCTGAACTGCTTCATTCTAGAGAGCACAGCACTATCAATTGGCTTATCAGGTGCTTGTCCTTTAATCCAAGGGTGCTCTATAAAAACAAGAATAGAAAATATTCAACTTTAGCCACAATATGCTAATTGCTAAGCAGAGCTTAGAAATGCTAGTTTGAAAAAGAAAACTAGTTCAACTAAACAACTTAAAGAACACAAGTTTTCAAAATAATGTTTAATAGAAATAGAAACAAAAGACGTGATATACACAGGAGTTGTTAGAAATAAGCAACTTATACTGTTTATACGCCAGTTGGCCCTTGATATGAATCAATTTATATTGCCCCAAATTTCTCATATAATTCTCAGGTAATTAATTATAAAGTTTTGTTTTGAATAGATACAGGGGCTTCAAACTTAAACCAAAATTCAACTGCTCATTGGGTTTCGAGGATAACTCATAAATAACCATATCATTCTTTCTTTTCAGTTACTTTTTCTAGTTAGCAGCATCGATATCAGCACCAATCTGAGACAAATTCCTAAGTTTGGATAAACTAATGACAGCAAAGACAATGGTAATTGCAAGAGAACTTATATCTCTCTGTCATTTGAAAAGTTGACAAGGAATGCACAATACAAGTCAGAAATGAAAATCCGTCTTCATGTTCAAAAGACGTGCATAAAGATGTGAGGAATTAAAGATGAGATGTTACACAGATGTGACTTGAAATTCTATGGAAGTGAGAAGGGGATTTTACCCAGTACTTGTACAGAAGTAATTCTCTTCTTTGGATCCTTCATCAGCATTCTACGAACAAGGTCTTTCGCATTGTTTGATATTGAGGGCCATGGCTGGCTTTCAAAGTCAATTTCTTCTTTCAGTATAGCATCAAATATCCCCTTTTCAGTTTCTGCAGCAAAATTACATGAAACGAGTTGAAGAGTTTTACTTTTTTCCTCCTCCAAAGAGCATGTTAGGCTAAAAGTAATTTTGTAGAAGTAAGTGTTGACTTACTTCCAGAAAGTAATTTTTTTGAAAAAAAAAGAAAAAAAAAGGGGAAAACCCAGAAAGAAAAATAGAAACATTAAAAGGCTAAAAAGAAAAGAGTACGTAGAAAGCTCAAACATGTTTGGCCAAAAAAGTTATTTAAAAGTAAATTTTAAGCTTGGGCAAACATGTTAAGGTAAAAGGGAGTTACGGATAAAGAGCAGAAAACATCATATAGAACTGTTATATTTAGCTTACCAGCCCAAAATGGAGGCACACCACTTAGAAGAATGTACAAAATCACACCTGCACTCCATATATCTATTTCCTTCCCATAACTTCGACGAAGAACTTCAGGAGCTACATAGTATGCACTACCAACAACATCATGATACACCTTTCCTGTGATTTTAATAACTAAGGGATCGTTATTTTTATGGAAATTAAGAGAAAATTTGCGTATCAATGAAACAAACATGAAATTAATAAAATGTCAGAGAAAAATTGATTAAATTTCAAAAAATGCACACATATCAAGGACAGCACGGTGTAGAGATGATATGGTAAAATGGTGGCCACGCTTTTCAATCATCTTAGTTATGGAAACTGCCATCTGAACTTCTTCAACAATCAATTAGCTAACATTCTTTAAAAACACGACTGTCATTCTCAGTTTTTGGAGATAACAGGTCTATTTCACAATCAAAATTTCCGAGAGGAACTTCCACCAGAATCTTCAAATACTTTAAATCACTGTCCAGATGTCAAATATCCACACTTACACCATTTTGTTAATAAAGGTCATTATTCCTTAATGTCTATATCTTCTTGTAATACTTAAGTGAGTCATTCCCATATTTATAAGGCAGCATCTTCTGATACAGGGGAACCTTGAAGCATCTCCCACTCTTTGGACATTTTCGAACTTGAGTGGTCAAGTATTTTTAAGTGTTGCTGAAAGAACTATTTACAGTATTAGAACTCTATTCAACCCCAAGAATATGCCATTGTTGGATCTTGATCACAAAACATTGAAAGAATTGTAATCTACTAACATAAAAGTTTGTTATCCATTTGAAAATACATGTAAACTTAGCTGAATTGTAATACATATACGAAATAACATTAGATTCCGAAATTATAATATTGAATTTGAATAAATGAAACGCTAGAAGCCAGAAAAAGACCTTCTTCAATAAAGACACTGAGCCCAAAATCAATTGCCTTCAACATTGCTTTCTCGTCCTTACTTGCAAGCAAGAAATTCTCCGGCTTGAGATCCCTATGCACCACCCCCATAAAATGGCAATGCTGAACAACATTCACAATCTGTCTACAGAGGCCAGCGGCAGCTCTCTCAGAATAATGTCCATGAGCAATAATCCTGTCAAAGAGCTCCCCACCGGCACAAAGCTCCATCAAAACGTGCACAGATTGCTTGTCCTCATAAGCACCCTTAAATTCCACGATGTTCGGCTGCCCACTCAAATGCTGCATAATATGAACTTCCCTCTTCATATCCTCCTTATCATTCTTATTCACAAGCTTCCTCTTCAGTATTGACTTACAGGCATATGTGTGCCCAGTTGCACTCTCAGTACAAAGGTAAGTTACCCCAAACTGACCCTTGCCCAATTCTCTGCCAAGTTTGTATTTTGACCTTATATCCTCAAAGGGCTTACCTAGAATGTTATTGTGTTCTAATATTTGAACAGCGCTCTGGTGTTGGGGGGCAGGTTTCACAGGAGCTGGAATTGGTGCCTGAGGCTGCGGCCGCGGCTGCGGTTGTGGCTGCGGCCGCGGAATTGGTGGCGGCTGGTGGTGCCTTTCGGGCTGAGGAGGCTGGGGCGTGTACTGAGATGATGGTTTTTGATAATTTTGGTGGCTTTGACACCCTGTGGGGCCTGTGCTTCCTGATCTGTAGCCACTGGCATCTCGGGTTTTGTACTTATTCTTGCTGAAACACCCACCCATCTTTCCCTTAACAGGTTACGAAAATAAAATCAAGATTGAAACTTTATGACTGAATTTATCGGAAAACACTGAAAATTTGTGATCTTGTAACTGTAGTTGGTTTTTCGATAACAAAGATTCCGAGAATTATTGGGACTTTAGCAGATCCCATATCAGAGGTGTGTAGCTATGACGATTGTGAAGAATAGGGAGACGCGGAAAATTTTTGTGTTGACTTGGAAGGTCGATGAAAATGTTCTTGACATGCCTTTACTTTACTGTTTATGAAAACAAAAGGATCTTTTTGCAATTTTCCTTTTTAGGAAAAAGTTCCTATTCTGTGTAACGATAAAAAGACGGGCAAAAAGACAGGAAGTAAAAACAAGCTGACGTGGCAACAAGTTGGCCTTCTCTAACTACTTATAGAAAAATAAATAAAATTCACTATAATTGTAATAGTGTTCGGATTTCTACTATAGTTAAACAGTAATTTCACTGTAAATATTAGATATACTCCTTTTTTCTTTACTCAAAATGACGGTGAAGTCATTTCCCCACGCAAACCCATTTTCTATAGATGGAAGCTTTCTTCATTATCATCATCATCATTTTCTTCTCTCACTTCTTCTTCAATTCTTCTCTCATGTATCAGCAATCTTGGTAGAAATCATGAAGTATGACTTCTTGGTGCAGAGCCCCCGCATGGAATTGGTGCGGGGAAGTGCAGGGACCGCGCACGAAATTGGTGCGAGCACTTCCCTGCACGTCCTCGCACAGTCTGTGCAGGGACTCCATACAAAATTATAAATTATCTTTTACTTATATTCCTACAATTTTAAATCTAATTTTTACTAACTGCTAGAGAACACTCATGCCAAAAAATTTAATTCAAATTTCAAAAGTATGTTAGGATTATGCCAAATTTATATACATGCCCATTATAGATAGATGTGGAATACCTCAATAACTCTCATACACAACTCAACCATAAAATAATTGAATATAAACATAAATTCATCTATGAATTCTTATGTCCACATTCGGCAAAAAAAGCTTCAGACAATCCATCTTATACTTCCTCAGACCTTGGTTCAACAAAAATACAGAAAAATCATGTTTGTAAGACTACTAGACTAATGGAATTCCACACAATCACAAATTGCGGCAGAGCTGAGAGAATGAGTTGAAGAAAATAATCATATCAGCAATTGGTAAAATATAGATCTCCTTAAAATGGATTGTTGAAAGAATTCAGAAAATTTTCTCAAGGTAATATGCCACTTAAAGCTTGAAGGCAGGTTCATGCGTGCAACACCCCGAAAACTCCAACTATGCAAGTACAGATCCCTCAATCCTCATCAAGTTTCTCCTGCAGAAATGCATAATGTCTTTCCCATCCATTCAAACAATATGAACAACCACTAAGGAAAATTTTCCTTTACTAATCCGAAGCAAACTTCTTGGTACTTGATGCAACTGAAGTAGTAGTGGGGAACTATCTTAATGCGTTTAGTGAATGAGAGATAAGAAAGGAAGTATATTGATCATACCACAATGAGCTAAAAAGTAAATGCATCCTAAGTGATGACAAAATAAAGCATTGACAAGGAAAATAATTGTAAATTCAGGAAGGATAGAATTCTTGTATACCTCACATTTTGCATTCGATCAGGTTATCATCTTGGAGATTACTTGGGAAATTGTGACCTTGCTGGCTGACATGAGTTCCGTAAATATAGATTGCAAGACCTCTTTGGTTTCCACTTCCCTGTCCTCTTCATCAATGTGTAATATCTGAGCTGTATGTGCATCACCAACCACCTCTACAATATCAGGTACATTTTGGTGAGGGGACTCCGCATAAACTATGCGGGGACTTCCCCGCACAAAATTGGTGCGGCAATTGTGCGGGGACTCCGCACAAAATTATAAATTATCTTTTACTTATATTCTCACAATTTTAAATCTAATTTTTACTAACTGTAAGAAACATTCATGCAAAAAAATTTAATTCAAACTTCAAAAGCATATTAGGATTATGTCAAGAAAACTAAAATATCCACGTCACGCTAATAAAGACACATTAAATACAATAATCGTACAATGCACGTGGCATCGACTAATTTAAAAAAAAATTGAACTCTCCAATCATGCATCGACACGTGTACAAGCTATTTTTAACTCTATATTTCACCCCGTTTCTATAGGAAAACTCTCCTATTTTTTCCTTTTCCTCCGAGAGTTGGCCGGTTTAAGAAAAGAGGGTGAATATGATTGAACAAAAAAGGAATGGATCAATAATAGGTAAAGGTTTTTTAATCATTTGATCTAATGTATCAAATATTGGTGTTTCACTAGTAATTACAAGTCATGCTGTTAATTGCATGTTACTTATCTTCACTTGTTGTAATTACTGAATATCTATTGTATAATTTGTAATTGAGTCACGATATTATGTCATTGTTTGAGCCTTATTATTTAAAATTTATTTTCAACTACATATTCTTTTAATAAAATAAATTTATCAGTAAATCCAAATTTTTTCGTATTTTGTAATTACACGTTCTTCAAAAATTATTATTACAAAGTATGTTCTTCCACAATATGGGGCTCAACACTGTGTACTTCTCTGAGTATTGGGAATCAAGAAGATGAAAAAGTTTATTCAATTTCTCGACCTTAAAAATAAATTGAGAAAGGATTTTCCCCTGAGCAGAGGGAAAACACTAAATTCATACATGATTTTGAAATGAAAAAATCATGTTCCTGTATATTTTATGTTTTTCTCCATCTTTGAATGATGTTTTGACACCCATGTTCGTGGAAAATTTCCTGTGCAAAAAACCTGTACTTGTAACATAATCCGCCTAGAAATAATATCATTAAGCTTGTCTATTTGGCTAATCAACTGGTTGAGGAAGGGTTCCTACTACTCAACAGAAGCATTAGTGCAGCTGGAAATTATCAAAGCCATAAGAGCAGATACAACCCTCCTCTAATTTTTGGGTCAATTTTACTGCTTAATTTATTTCAACAATGAATTTTTATCTCTCGTATGTTTAAAATTTAAATCGATTTAAGTTCTCATTTTCCAAATAATACAAATACTCGTGCAAATTTTTGGTATCCTCTTAATCCATGAATAGATAAAAATAAGGTATCTGAAAATAATGTTAAAAAATCACAAAAACTCAACGTTTTCTACGTCTAAAAGAGAGAAAAATTATCCGAACAAATATACGGAAAGGGGAGACACTATTAATCGACTTCAGGAATACTGTGTAGACGGAGCCTCCAAGGCCGGCGACTTTGAACGTCGGAAAGATTGCCATCGCCGGCGTTGACTAACTGGCATAAGGCTTGCTCCGTAGTCAAGTCCTCCATGTCAACTCTGCCCAGAAATTCCTGGAGCTGCCTCTTTGTAATCTTGATCTTCACCTCCTCTCTGTTATGATCATGATCACTGAGAAGGCTTTCTTTTTCCTTCTTTAGCGTTACAGATTGATTCCACTCATCTTCCACGGATGCCCAAACCATTGATGATTCACGTCTACAACAGTTTCCCATTGTGTCTGTGTTTTTCTTTGTTGAATTATGTGAGGTTAGACAACCTTTTTATACATACATACAAGTGGGGTGGAGAACTATCTCGTGTCGTGTGAATTCAGATCCTACGACTTTTGAGAAAATTATGCTACACGTACAGAATTTTTGAACAAATATATTGATAGATACATGCGTGAGAAAGTCAAGTTGAGGGATGCATCTATCAACTTATCGGTGCAAAATCATCTATACAAATAGGTTAATTGTTTGAGTAATGCTAATGCCCTGTTTGGTTTAAATAAAAATAAATTTTTATAAAAGTTTGTAGAATGCATGATTGAAAAATTATAAATCTCAGGAAATTTATAATTAAAAATAATTATTAAGTTTGATTAAAGTTTTAATCAAATTTTTAGCTGAACCAAACATGAGCAATATGTGCAATTGAGAATTATTCCCATCTGGGGAGACATTAAGCTCATGTTTGGCATAAATTAAAATCTAAGTCAAAATTAATAACTAATTTTGAATACATTTATGTGATTCATAATTTTTCGATCACATATTTCATTAATTTTTATTAGAATTTATTAAAAATTTAATTTAAATCCACACCAAACACGTACTAAATGATAAAAGTGAATTTCATATTCACAAATTTAATTAGTTTGATCATTTTTCCCCTCATCGCATGGAAAAATTCCTAATTCATACGATAGATTGATTTTCAAGTTCTTCATGTCGCCTACTAATAAAAATTGCTTATTTATTGGAATCTTGATGAGTATGTGTAGTTTTGTTGAAGATAAAATTTAAATAGATAAATATGTTTCTATTGATAATTTAAGCTTCTAGACGAGATATAAAGTGTATTATAAGAACAAGGGAAGGAATAGTCTGCAAGATATTTGGAGGCATTAAGAGACTCGGGTGGTTGGTTTGACCATCAATTTGCCAAGTCCATGAAGACACATATTTTGGCTTGATTGGTTGGCATCTTTTACTGGATCAAGTTAAGGAAGGAAATTAGAGGAATATCTCGAAGCATGGAATTGTCAAAAGGGATTTTTTCGCCAATTTTTAAAGGTAGGGGATTTGCACAATCAATCTCAAAAGTAGGGGGTAATTTGCTATTCAGCCAAATTAAAATCTAGATTTTAATATATGTCAAAGTTAACAATTAATTTTAATCATATAATTCATGGGATCTATAACATTTCAACCGCACATTTCATCAATTTTTATCAAAACATATTAAATATCTTATTTTAATCTCCACCGAATAAAGCTAAGCAAAACTTCTGAATTAAAGTTTGGCCATCATCCTTTATTAAAAATTATGCAAAGGTTTTAGTGAGAAAAATTAAATATCTTATATATGAGGGAGGTGTTGAAAGTAATTTTAAACAATATATATTTGACCTTACCTTTGTTTAAATATAAATTGGTTTATAAATTCAGTAAAATTTAAACATTAATTTCAATCACATTCATAACTACTGCTCATTATTGTCCATATATTTCGTGAAACTCAATATTGCTTTGCTTTATAAAGCTTGAAAGCCAGGTTAGTAAGTCAACAATGCAATTGTGTAGTGTACTTGAGCAGAATTAAGTGAATGAATAATATGATCGTAATTTTTAGTCTTTCAATAATGCTGAATATTAAAGCTCGCTATTTGGAACCATAAAGAATTTATAAAAATTCCATGAAAGTATTTTTTGAAATATCGTAGTTCGACCCAATCAACACCTAGAGAGGGGGTGAATAGGTGTTTATGCGGAATTTTCTTTTTTAATCAATTAATAATTTCAACACGTCACAAATATTAATTTGTCTAGATCAGTTCACATGCTTTACTATCCTATGTTTGAATACCGGTCATAAATTAATTGCA